ACCACATCAGCACAGAGATGTAATTGTCAATTCAAATCCAATAGTAGTAGTAGAGGTAGTAAAGGTATTAGAAGTAATGAGGAGAGGTTAGGATTAGAAGATATTATTCAAGAAGTATGATTAAATGAGAAAAGTTTAGAAAGTCAAAACTAGAGTTGTTGAAGAACCCAGAAGATAAGGATTTGAGAGAACACAAAGAATAAATGCACTGGCACCATTGCGAACGATTTTGAGCCATGTCATTCAAGGTCTCTAACCATCGATTATTATCATCTCGCGGACCCCAACCAGGTAGTCGACAATTACCGACATGGCTAAGTCCACTAGTCAATGACTTCATGGATTTATGCCATGTTTCCGTTTGGCCGCCCCTAGCTTTCTTCCAACCTATTCCTACACTACAAAACAAAGCTCGTCGAGGCAGTCGGTGGTTAGGCATACGCAACACATGTCCCAACCACCTCAACTGATCAAGTTTCATTACTTCATCTATTGATCTGCCATTCTTACCTAGCACCTGCTTCCTAACAAAAGCGTTGCTCACTCGGGTGTGCCAGGATATACGAGCAATGCTTCGAAGACACCTATGATCGAAAACCAGTAACCTACGAATACATACATGCAAACACTTGACCAATAAGCTGGCGCAACCAAAGGTATTAATTTCTAGCTTCAATCAATTGACAATAATACGCGACCTCATCCATTGTTTTCGGTGGGTAACTGCTTCACCCCAAACTGGTGAAAAGCTGTAACTTGTAGAGTCAACCAAACAGGGCGTGAGACAGTAACTCATAGACAACAAATTGTAAAGATCTTATAATATCTCAAGTGGACTGAAGTTTGAAAAATTATAGACAGTTGGATTCGGATTCAGTGATCTGATAATAATGTGCTTGCATTCAGGTTTCCAGATGTTAAGTCCAAACCTACAACGGGTTGTGGAATTCGATTGCTTGAGAGTCTCAAACTAAGAAAAAAACAACTGTTCAAAGCTCCCTGACTCTCTCTAGATGATCACGGTTCTTCTGACCACCCTAAGAAACAATGCAAGCATGATCGGGATGCGGTTCTCCCCCTCGAAATGCAAAATGTTGCTTCAAGACTGGGTTGCATCGGCAACTAAAATAGTGATAGGGAGTGAAGTGGTCGAGCGTGTAGACCGCTTCACTTATCTGGGGAGTCTCATCAGAGCTGATGGATACAGAAGGCTCGATTGACTTTTCCCAACCTGCGTCACCTATGGCACAGGCGAGATATTCGCTTGTTAAAGAAAGGACGAGTTTACTACGCAGCCGTTCGCTGTATCCTACTATACGGATGCGAAACATGGCCGTTAAGAGTAGAGGACATTCGTAGGTTACTAGTCTCTGATCACTGGTGTCTCCGAAACATTGCTCGTGTATCATGGGGCGACCGAGTAAGCAATGCTACCGTTAGGAAACGAGTTCTAGGTAAGGATAGCAAATCAATATATAAAGCATTGAAACTTGATCAGTTGAGGTGGTTGGGACGTGTGTGTTATGTATGCTCAACCACTGACTGCCTCGATAAGCTATGTTTTGTGGTGTAGGAGTAGGTTAGAAGAAAGCTAGGGGCGGCCAGACCAAAACATGGTAGAAATCCATGAAGTCACTGACAAGTGGACTGAGTCATGTTGGTAGGTATGGACTATCTGGTTGGGTTCCGCGAGACAATAGACACCGATGGTTAGAGACCGTGAATGACATGGTTCAGAATCGTTTGTAATGGCACAGGTGCATCCAATCTTTGTGTTCTCTCTAATTCTAACCTTCTGAATTCCTCATAATCTCCATCTTTCTCCTTCCAAATTTATCTCACTGAATTATGCTTTCCGAATAATATCTTTGCTCCCTAATCTTCTCCATTACTGCTAATAATTCTACTATAGCTATCACTCTTGAATTTGAAGTGACAGTTGCGTCTCTGTACTGATGGGGCATGGCAACCTGAACTGATGTACTTATGCACGAAGTTCTGCGTAGTATCTGTCTGTCTGTCAGATGATCACAGTTCCTAATGAAATAAAAACTTCAAAACTTCAAACGCATTATGCCGAGAAATAGAGAAAGGCATGAGAAGAACGAACAAAAATTGGACTGAAGTGGAAAGGGAAGCCCAGGACAGAGTAGGTTGGAGAATACTGGTTGGCGGCTTATGCTCCATTTGGGGTAACAGGCGTAAGTAAGTAAGCAAAACTTGGAGCAACACACTTATTGAGAATGTTAGAACTGTAATGATTCAGTCCGATGGGGCAAATTAAAACTTAATTTATCGTAAGAGTTGTTCGATTCGGTTGGATTTTACAGGGTTAATATGATATGGCAATTAGAACTGATGTACGTACGTACGTTGTATATTGTAGCTGACTAACTTACAGGACGTTAGTTCATGCAGGTTTAGTTCAGCACCTTACCTAATAGACCATTTACCTCTAGTCACAAGATAGGTTTTAAAGCGTTTAGCTTCGCCCTTTTTAAAAGGCCTTACCACCGGAGACGGAAATCCGCGAGGTAAGGTGAAGTGTGACATTTTTTGGGTCAACCTTTTCTAACCCCTTCCTTCGCCACAGATGCTGGTTGTCCGAGGAAAAACACCTTACTGCTGTCATACCTCTCTACAGATACAGCAGTATGACTTCGTTCTCAGACCTTGAGTTGGTGCTTGATAGAACCTACAGGAACGTATGTTCCAGCCAATATAACTTGACTGGATCATCACAATAAGCAAGCTCGACCATCACGTCTCTGTGCTAATGTGGTTCGGCAAAATGAAATTATGTACGAACGTACGAAGTTCTACGTTGTAACTGACTGACTGACTGACAAGATATTTGACTTCAGTTTTTAACCAAATACCAATCAACCACACCGAACCAAGCATTCTACGATACCAGTCAATTAAACCAATCAATCACAGGTCCATAACAAGTATTTTCTGTAATTAGACTATTTCTTATTGTAAATAAGTAAACAGATAATTAAAGGATAACTCAAAGAACAAGGTAAAAATCGCTGTTTACGGGTGCATGCTATCGTGCTTCATGTATACCACAAATAAATTACAAGATTTTACATGAAATGTGGCAGAGAAAATAAAGATTAGACGTAAACAATCGAATTCATGAGTAAAACCACGAAATGCTCAGTACGCTTGACAATGAAGAGAGGCCCCAGCTTCCTTTAGAAATACTCTCTCATATGCCCATGTATATTAACTACTGCCAGAGAGGTACAACTCTGTATTCTTGTGGTAAGGGTGTTATTTACGAAATTAAGAGGACGAAAAACGAATACCAGGCACTTAAACTTAATTCGACACCGGTGGTGCACACAGACTTCAGGATCCTGAATGAACAAATAGTGTATATGAACTTATTGTTAGTGACCGACTGCCATGGGACTGTATCCCCCCTAACGTTACTCTACCGCCTTTATGGATTAGACCATTGAATCGATGACTCGGTAACTGATCATCCTCTTAGAAAATGACCTGATTTGGTTTTGCCAGCCTACGCAAAATACTTCGTATTCGTTGGTCAGACACCATTAGCAACAACGAACTGTGGGATAGAACAAACCAGATCCCAGTGGAGGAGGAAATCAGGAAGAAGCGGTGGAGTTAGTGGATAGGACACACACTACGAAAAGCACCTAAATGCATCACAAGACAAGCCCTCACATGGAACCCTCAAGGCAAAAGGAAAAGAGGAAGGCCAAGGAACACATTACGCCGAGAAATAGAGAGAAAGATATGAGAGGAATGAACAAACATTGGACAGAATGGGTTAAGGGAAGCCAGGACAGAGTTGGTTGGAGAAAACTGGTGGGCGGATTATGCTCCATTGGGGGTAACAGGCGTAAATAAGTAAGTAAGTAGGTTTTACCAGCGGGACAATATCTCAAATCCAGATAATAAATTAGGTGAATTTGTTTATAGCACGTATATATTTTCTCGGTGATCATTTTGTACAAATAATATTTACGTGTTTAAAATATAAATACTGACAGTAAGTATAAATAATAAACAAATGAATTTCGTAAAATCACGTCATCATTTTGTCAAATATTATTACTAAAAATCTTTTTAAAAATATTTGATTTATAAATCATTTCTAATGAAGTGTGATATAACAGGAGGAATAAGTGATTAAGAATTAATGATTGATATTCGATATATATATATACTTTAATTACAATGACGTACGTAAATGTACTCATATTTTTTCCTTAAAAAATCTATCAATACATTTTAAGCTTTGATAACAGTCAGTCAGCTACAACGTAGAACTTCGTACCTCTACCTAAAATCAGTTCAAGTTGCCATACTGCACACAGCACACAGCACACAACGATGCGATTGTCAATTCAAACACTATAGTAGTAGTAGAGGTCGTAGCAGCATTGGTGAGGAATAGAGTTCGAAGATATTTTTCAAAAAGTTTAATCCAGTGAGGTAAATTTAAAAAGAGAAATATGAAGATTGGAATTTGAGAGAACACAGAGAATGGATGAATCTGCGCCATTGCAAACGATTTTGAGCTATGCTATTCAAAGTCTCTAACCATTGGTTACTAATGTCTCACGGAACCTAACTCAATCCAGTTATCAGTGACTTCATGGATTTGTGTCATGTTTTGGTTCATACACAATCTGTTTTCATGTCATCTTTCATTATGTTGACTTCTTTACTATTCGTCAAATAATACAGTATGATAATTTGGGCTAATGTAAAACTTGTGTCAGCTCCTTTACAATCAATATATATATATATATATATATATATATATATAAATCCGCTTGGAGCCCTTCCGGGGTTACTGCCGCTCCCAAGCCCAGATAAAGGAGGACGGCTGGATATGGGCTGAGCGTCCTCATCTCGTAGAAATTCAACTCGCTACAAAAAAAACGCTAACCAAAAAAGTAATTCACTGAGAGGTAACATGCATAAGTAAGTATGTCAGCGCATATTCAACTTACCTAATGTTGTTTCTGACAAAGTATTTAATAATTCCGCTGTAGACTTTGTAATAAGGACCATTTCAGGTAAATGATTTGACAGTTTACCGGCGCCATTTTGATGTTGCAATGCATTTGACCTTGAATGATCACCATCACTATTATTAGTATTATTGGATAAACCATTCATCATGATTGAATTACTGTCATTACTATTATGACTTGTGGATTTGCCTTTATTCGCCGATGATACATGTGCATTGGTTGTTGTTGCTGTTACCTCGTCCACCGGCATGTTTGACGATGCCGATGTCAAATGTTCATCGACACTGGTCCCACCGATTAATACTAAACCATGTTCCACAATCAATTGATCACGTGCCTCCACTTGATGACGTGCATAGTCTAGACGATGTGTCAATTCAACAATTTGCATTTTATGATATGCTAAGTCCTAGAACAAAAAAAAACGAGGAAAAAATTAAGCTAGAACTACATGTGGGTACGTGTGAGTGGTAAAAATATAAGAGGAAAATTAAGGTGAATATACTGATAGTAGTCAATAATGTAAGAAAAAACGTGACCAGCACCCTAAAGACTATGACAAACATGATGCTGGTTATCAGCGACATCACAGCAATGCTATCGTCAGGAAACGAGTTTTAGGTAGGGATGGCGAATCAATAGATGAAGCATTGAAACTTCATCAGTTGAGATGGTTGGGACATGTGTTATGTATGCCTAATCACCGACTGCCTCGACGAACTATGTTTTATGGTGAACGAGTAGGTTAGAAGAAAGATAGGGGCGACCAAAACAAAACATGGCACAAATCTATGAATCCACTGACAAGTGGACTGAGTCACGTTAGTAGATGTAGACTACCGGGTCGGGGTCCGTGAGATGATAGTCTCTGTTGGTTATAGTCCGTAAATGACATAGCTGAAAATCATTTGCAATGACGCAGGTGCATCTACTCTTTGTGTCCTCTCGAACTCTAATCCCCTGAATTCCTCATCATCTCTACCTTTCTCTTTCTAAAGTTGTCTTAATGAAGTGTATTTCTTGAATAGTGTCTTCGAACTTTATGTGCTTGTACGGGTGTGAGGGCGGTTGTCGCTTCCCGGCTGCCCACACCGTGGAAGGTTGTTTCTTGAGGGACCTGAAAAAGAAAGTAGGTTAGTGTTGGTCTTGGAGACTTGGTAGCGCGACCGCACAGTCCAAGGGACAATGCTTGAGGTCGGTCACTCACGGCCTTTTTATGAAAGGTTTTTTGAGTATTAGCTCCGCTCTTATTGGGCACCCTTACCCCTGGAGACGGAAATCCGTGAGGTAGGGTGAGGTGTGACATTTTTAGGGTCGACCTTTTCTAACACTTCCTTCCTTGTGAGAAGGTAGCATCGCTGCAGATGCTGGTTGTTCGAGGGAAACACCTTACTGCTGTCACACTCCTCTTCAGTCAGAAGTACGACTTCGCCCTATATTTGACATGGTTGAGCTCCACTGGTCACGTCTCACTAGAACTCTGAGAATTTCTTCACAAAGCTAGTCACTAGTGAGCATATTGTGCGACCCACTGGTCCAGAAGTTAAGCGTTCGTGTATGCAAGACCGAAGGTCTTGAGTTCAAACCCTGTGTGCGCCAGAAGTCATGGATGCGCACAGATGATGTGTCGCATGCCAGAACGAAACGACCATCCAGTACTTCCGCATTTCTAATGGTCGTCTAACAATGATTCATTTATGATTTCAACGTAAACCAGAGAGAGTTACTGGATAAGCAAACTTGTCTTTTAACAGCTAAACACGACTACATTTTATCCAGTCAGAAATTTCATTAGCCATTATAAATATTACAAATTTTCTAATTCATACATTATTTTAGTGTAACTTAACATTCCATACTTGAACTTGTTTGTGTATGAGGTTGAACAATAAACATAAGGCAGTATATATATGTATATTTTCTTCTTGATCAATTCATTTAAAATGTGTCAGAATTCTTTTTTCTTCTTTACTTGGTGCCTAGATAAATTGACTAATATTATTTAAATATCAAATAGGTGTTTTGTTTGTTTATTTTTAGCGCTAAAAAAAACATACACATCAATATACACCAGTGGTAAGTTGTCTAAAGTGTAAAATGTCCGTCAGGGCTGTCCACTCTGTCCATTCTTGTTTAACTTTGTCGTAGACATCCTCTTAGAGTTAACATTAAGCTCGTCAGATTTTTCAGGGGTTGACCTTCTACCAGGAAAATCGCTTACTGATCTAGAATATGCCGATGACATAGTCCCATTCGGTGAAGAAGCTGACGAAATGCAGTCTTCTGACTACCATAAGAAACAATGCGAGCATGATCATGATGTGGTTTACACCCTCGAAATGCAAAATGTTGCTTCAAGACTGGGTTGCATCGGCACCTGAACTAGTGATAGGCAGTGAAGTAGTCAAGCGGGTAGACCGCTTCACTTATCTGGGGAGTCTCATCAGCGCTGATAGCCTGGTGACTGACGAAATCTCACCACGGATACAGAAAGCTCGATTGGCTTTTGCCAACCTGCGTCACTTATGGCGTAGGCGTGATATCCGTTCGCTAACCAAAGGACGGGTGTACTGCGCAGCAGTTCGCTCCGTTCTCCTATATGGCTGTTAAACATGGCCGTTAAGAGTAGAAGCTGTTCGTAGGTTACTAGTATTCGATCATAGATGTTTAAGAAGCATTGCTCGTATATCGTGGGACAACCGAGTAAGCAATGGTGTCGTTAGGAAACGGGTGATAGGTAAGGATGTCAGATCAATTGATAAATTTGTGAAACTTCATCAGTTGAGGTGGTTCGGACATGTGTTACGTATGGCTAACCACCGACTGCCTCGTAAGGCAATGTTTTGTGATGTATCTTTAGGCTGGAAGAAAGGTAGGGGTGGCCAAACGAAACATGGCAGAAATCTATGACAAGTGGACTGAGTCATGTTGGTAGATGTAGGGTACCTGGTTGCGGTCCGCGAGACGAAAGTCACCGATGGTTAGAAACCTTGAAAGACATGGCTCAAAATCGTTTGCGATGGCATCCAGGTGCATCCACTTTTTTTCCTTTCAAATTAATTTTACTGAATTATACTTCTTGAATAATATTTTCGAACCTTAATCCTCTCCATCACTGCCAATGCTGCTACTATTGCTACTATTATGGAATTTGAATTAACAATCGCGTCTCTGTGCTGATGTGGTACGGCAACTTAAACTGATGTACCTAGGTACGAAGTTCTATGTTGTAGCTGACTGACTGAAATAAGTTCCTAACACGTTGCGAATAAGGCTTACTAATTATTGAGTGTTAACAAAAATGAAACTTATGTGCCCAGAGGTTTTCAACTGAAAAACGGGATAGAATGTAAACAATTTAGTCAATACACGATAACATACTGGGAACAAAGATTAAAATTTACACTATTATCTAGTAGATAACAATAATAATCAGAACACTCATCTATGGCCTGAGGTGGATAACTGTTTCACATACAACAAGGTTAAAGTCAACTGGTCACGGCTCGTATAACTAGAACTCCATGAGTTTTATCTTAAAACTGGTCATTAGCTAAGCTATGGATGAGGGTTGTGCAATATAGTAAAATTCACTGAATTTAGACCTCTGCACTACCGAATTTTCGATCCATTGGTCTAAGGGTTGAGCGTTCGTGCACGAAACAGAAACAGTACTGAGTTCAATCCATGGATGAGTGGTCGTGGATGCTCAGTAGTAGTGCCACACTAGGACTAAACAGCTGTCCAATACTAACAGGTTTCTGATAGGGATCACACACTAGTTCATGATTCAATCTATGCAAATTTTTATGCGCCCCCCCCACCCCCCGATACTAGTATACAAAAATTAACAAAATAACGCACAAGTTTAAAATATCAATATGAAACAAACCCGTTTATTTTCCAGGAAAATTTTATTCAACGAAGCATAAGCATCTGTAAGATCTTCCAATTTATCTTTCAGTAAATCAACTTCATACCTTAATTTTTTTTCAAAAAAAAATACATAAACAGAAAAAGAAATTGTTTATTAAGATAGTTGAGAAAGAGAATTGAGCAGATTAGAGGGTTTGGATATTAGACATGACTGTGTTTACCATGCGTATTTTACATTTGCTTACTTACTTACACCTATTACGCGCAAAAGAGCATAGGCCGCTGACAAGTATTCTCCAACCTACTCTGTCCTGAGCTTTGCTTTTCATTTCTGTCCAATTGTTGTTCATCCTTCTCGATGTATATCTCCATTTCTCGGTGTAATATGTTCCTTGATCTTCTTCGTTTTCCTTTGACCTTGAGGATTATATAAGTGGGGGCTTGTCTTGTGATAAAGTTCGATGCTTCCCTAAATGTATGTCCTATCCACTTCCAGCGCTTCATAATTTTTTTCTTAACTGCTGTCTGGTTTCTTATTTCCCATAGTCAGTCAGATGCAACGTAGAACTTCGTACGTAAGTACATCAGTTCATGTTGCCATACCACATCAGCACACACAGAGATGTAATTGTCAATTCAAATCCAATGGTAGAAGAAGTAGTAAAGGTATTAGAAGTAATGAGGAGAGGTTAGGATTAGAAGATATTATTCAATAAGTAGAATCTAGTGAGATAAGTTTAGAAAGTCAAAACTAGAGGTGTTGAAGAATCCAGAAGATTAGGATTTGAGAGAACACAAAGAATAAACGCACCGGCGCCATTGCAAACGGTTTTGAGTCATGTCATTCAGGGTATCTAACCATCGACTATTATCATCTCGCAGACCCCAACCAGGTAGTCGACAACTACCGACATGACTCAGTCCACTCGTCAATGACTTCATGGATTTCCGCCATGTTTTGGTTTGGCCGCCCTTAGCTTTCTTTCAACCGATTCCTACACTACAAAACAAAGCTCGTCCCAACCACCTCAACTGATGAAGTTTCATTACTTCATCTATTGATCAGCCATTCTTACCTAGTACCCGTTTCCTAATAACAGCGTTGCTTCGAAGACACCTTTGATCGAAAACCAATAACCGACGAGTATCTTCTACTCTCACTCGCCATGTTTCACAGCCATAAAGTAAGACGGAGCGAACTACTGCGCAGTACACCCATAGTAGGTTGTTGCTGATGGTTTCTGGCCAACGGATCCAAAGTATTTTGGATAGATAATTGTTAATAAATACTTGTATCTTCTGGATGATGGCTTTCGTAGTTCTCCAAGTTTTCGCTCCATACAGTAGAACTGTCTTGACATTTGTATTGAAAATTCTGACTTTAGTGGTTGATAGTTTTTTCAGGTTCCAGATGTAGTTCAATTGTAGAAATGCAGCCTTTGCTTCGCGGATCTGCGCCTTCACATCAGCATTAGATCCACCTTGTAAAGGTTTTTACATCCTCCACAGCATCTTCATCAAATGTGATTTGATTGGTGCAAGTTGTGTTGTATTTGCTTCTACACTTGGATCTTTATATATCAGTGTACTTCTATATTAGATATTTGTATCCTTTTTACAATTACTCGTGCAGTTATATTTCCCAATACTCTAGAATTTTTTGGCTTGGTAATTTCAATTCGCCCAGACACACACCACTTGAAGTAAACAATCCCGATGACAGTTTGCCTTAAGCTCTCTAACATGACCAGCAGTGTTCTAGTACAGAGCTTGTACAAGTTTAATGTAGCTAAAGCTTTCCAGTCTTAGTTTTTAAATATGTATTTAGAGCTATGATCTAATTGCGTAATGAAAGGAGGAGCATGAGAGTCATATTCACGCAGAGTTAGACTGAAAACACACAATTTGGTGTAAAGAAAGAAGACCTACAAATTGGCAACAAAAGTAGTTGATCATGATTCAAGTTAGTCAATGCAGAAAGACTCAGTGAAGTTAATTTCGAGTTCGAGAAGAAAGAAAACTAACTCAGGCTTCAATCGACTTAAATCGGCTTTTATAACTTAGTAAGACATGTGAAAGTTGAAAACACTGAAAGACTTGTGTACGGCTTTGGTAATATAGGTAACATGATGAAATTTCTCAAACATATTCAAGAAGTTTAACAGAAGAAAGCTTTTAGCGAGATTATCGTTGGTAAACGTGTCACCGGCTTATCTTTGAGTTGTTGTGATGTGGTAGAGAGTTGAAAAGAAACAGTTTAGGAACAATCAGATCCACCAAATATAGCATACACAAGCATTCATATATTAAATATTGTTTCCTTTCATTTGGCTAACAAGTACTCAATATCTACGTTATAATAATACACAAATGGACATCACTATGTTGTTTGAAGAGAGTGAAAAATCTTATAAAATACATACAGATACATAGACCTCATTAGTCACAAGTAGTACGAAAAGCACATTTCAAATTTCACTTATACCTCTAGCAGAAAAACATTTTATGATAACTGGGGAGTTTGTGAACTAACTAACCAGTCACGCACGGCCTTTTTATGAGACGTTTTTAAAGTGTTAACTCCGTTCTTTTTAAAAGGCATTACCACGGGAGACGGAAACCTGTGATGTGAGGTGAGGTGTGACGTTTTTAGGGTCGACCTTTTCTAACCCCATCATTCCTTGTAAGAAGGTAGCATCGGTGTAGATGCTGGTTGTCCGAGGGAAACACCTTACTGCTGTCACACCTCTCTACAGATACAGAAGTAAGACTTCGCTCTCAGACCTTGAGTTGGTGCTTTTAGTCTCATCGTTCTCCAACCGACCTGTCTGGCATGGTAGGTCCTAAAGGAACATATGTTACAGCCAGCATAGCTCGGTTGGTTCATCAAGACAGACAAGCCCAACCACGACATCAAGGCAGCAGGTATGGTTGGGTACTAACCGATAAATTAAATATCAGGAGTGTTAAGAGCAATCAAGTCATGAAGTAATATTTTTAAACAGTAACACTTAAAACTGATTACATAGAAAATACTTACTTCAAAAGTTGTTTGTCATTGTCTAATTGAACATTGGATAACATTGCCCCCTTAACCTTTTCTTCTAATTGCACTAATTGAGCTCGAAGTTCACGTGCATCCAAATTCCTTGAGTTGATTGATGATGTTAAATCAGCTGAAGAACGCTGGCTGCTATAGCGTGAACCACCTCGAGAATTAACCTATATGCATGATGAACAGTGAATATGATCATTTCAAGACCTGTTTTGATCAACAAGCAATTTATATTTTACATCATGAATACAGAATCATAATTAATTAGTATACAAGACTATGTATACTATTATTACTGAACCTTTCAATAAACAGTTTAATGAGAAGAAACACAAGCTGATACTAAAGCTTTCATCGCTTTTTTTGTAATCACTATAAGTTCGGCTCAAAGTCATCTTGAAATATGATTTCTAAATTATTTTTGTTAGTTATTTTAATAAATGTAACTACAGATGCACAAATATTGAAAACACATGCATGAAAAAAATGGGAGTTCAAAGTTTCAAACTAATATGTTAGCCAGTAGGAAAGTACATTGGTAAAAGGTAAACAGAACAATGCAGAATATCAGTCCATTAAGTCACCAGTTGCTTACTACAGACGCGTAAGAAACTAGAGAACTGACTACAGTTCGAGGAACAATCGTAACAAATGACTGGAGACAGGGGGTTATATATCCTAAAATCGGTTATGGTGAATGGTGTCTATCTCATAAATTCCAAACACGATTATTGTATAATTTCATTTCGCTGGTTACTAATTATCTTAGTTTCCTGCAACCTATAATATTATTAACTGTGTCAGCTTTCTACTTTTTAATCAACTCTTATTAGCCTGATATGAAGCAAGACAAATTGGGTCGATATATGAGTTACATTTTATTGCTCTATTTGATACTGGTAATTTTTTGAAAATTCCATAAAATTACAACATGTGACGTTAAAGTTAATTACAGAAATAATAGTAAGGACTTACTTTAATGATGACTTCAGGACGCTCACTACCACTGTCATCCTTACTTTCCTCCTTAAAATGAATTCATTATGTTAAACTATACAAGACATACTTCACGTCTCATTTTCTCAAGCTCCTTGTGTTTAATTATCCTACCTTCTTCAATAAGTTGTTGATTAGCAGCACGCTGTATTTCCGTCTATGAGAGAATAAGCATGCAAATCTAGATAATACATACTTCCTGTGCTGCACGCCCCATATCTGACATATCGGTGTAGGGGACATGGCGCGAAGCCATAATTCATCTGTAGGTCTAACTGTAAGCAAACAAACAGTCTTTTAACAAGGGAATTTTAGCTAAAAGTTTAAGTGCGAAATTAAAATTCGATTAAGACTTGTGCGCACATATACCATTAAAAAAAATCAGTAGAAATACTTAATTTTACATGGCCTTTATTTTTCGGGAGCTAAATGTTCCGAGTAGCACAAACTGAAAAAATAAACACCAATTGATAATGAGTCTACCTGAAGTTTATTTTGATGTTATCTAGAAGTAAAATGAAAGCTCCACAACCAAAACATTATGCTCAGAAAACGAAACTTTACCATAATCATCCAACTGAGCTACAAATTTCCTCAAACCGACTTAACACCAATGGATGTTTAGCACTTAGAATAGAAAAATTTTCGAATTTGCTGAGCTTTAGGTATGCTGATAAGTGAATCCTTGCACATTGGTGGAGCTTCTTGAATTATATAAGGATCTAGACTCCGTTACTATGACTTGCAAGAGCAATTGAAAGTCAGGCTCAAAAGGACAATTACAAACAACATAAAACCTGGCACAAATTTGTACCAGTCTGAGTTGCTACACTGCACACCAGTATGGTAAGAATAATCTAGGACGATAAAAGAGGACAATACCAATTACAGAAGAAAGTCTACAGTAATGTAGCTCTGTCAAAACGCGTGGAATCGAAATATGAAGTGTACTGAATAACATTAATCTAACGTGACTGACTTCTAAACGTGTCATCTAACGTTTAAAGTTAGTGCTTATAATCAAATGACAGAACAAACCAGCAAGTTTACTTTTTCTAACACCAAAAAGGCCAGTTCTAGCCTGGAGATCGCACCGTTAAAAAACCTTCTAACCGAGCAAGCTTAAGGATAAGATTTTATTAAATATTTTCAAACTAGGAATGTGATCATAAAACCCGAAAAGCTTTTCATACAACATCACGATTTAAATCCAGTATTTAGCCCGATCCTTATTAAAATTACTCACTAAAATTTGGCATTTTTGAATGTGTATCAAAGCCATACAAAACTTCTGTTTGGATGCCTTAGATCCGTTTCTCACGAATTCAACGCTGTTACGGATTCCAGAATACAGTGCATCTAAGTAAGTCTCTCGAACATAAACGAGATTACTTTCCCATAGACCCCTACCTTCACATAATTATTTTGCATGTATTTTTGTAGTATCATCAGAAATAGAACACGAAGACAGAAGAAACGGTGGAAGCGTAACCAACCTACAGTTCACAAACGTCCTTCGAAAATCGTACCTATCTAATCTACTAGTTTAAAGTACGTGCTTCAAGGTCAGTGACATTAGTGGTCTAAACGTTTGTGAATGGAATAGGGAAGACTAATCCTCATAAGCCTCGGTGCCTGAAATCAACTGCTTCCACATCCCTTCAATTAAAGACCTGATCATAATAAAGATAGAGATGACGATCGATCCACTGGAACACGGTCTCCCAAACCTTCCCAAACAATCTAGTCATTTTCTTGACCACTAGTCGAGCACCACAGTAGAAAAGAGTCAATAATAGATCACGCGAGCCCTTTGGCTTTCGGAACTCCAGAATTTAGGGTCGCTTGTCAACTTCTCCTTCGTCTCCTTCATTTATCAAAAGTCCGAAGGAACAGAAATGTCTGTTCGACTTTGTAGGGGCGACAGGCTAGTTGGATCACTTCCCAAAGAATTCTGCCTGTAGTCCAAGGGAAAAATCAGCATCAACCGCCTGTTATCTTTTTCCTGTAGTGTTCTAAAATTTAAATACTTAATCATTATTAATAACAACAATCTATTAATGAAAATGTAAATAGCCTATGTCAGAATCACTCGCAGCTTACTGATAAGTGAGTAATCAACGGGTCTTGAAAGTAGTTCCGCAGCTTTAACAAGATGACCACTTATTCTGAGTTTTCCAAGTCTAGAAGTTTCATATGGATGTGAACAGAATGTGATAAGCTTTCTCTTATCGGGTTTCTGTATCTGGTAAGAGAGGATCATTGATACCCACAAGTAAGAACCTAGGTAAATTCAACGATCAAAGGAAAGGTTTTAGTAAACTATAAGAAATACTGTCCTCAGTCCTTAAAAATTGGTCAAGTTTCTTCTTGAAAGAGTCCAAATAAATCATTCGGACAACCTCAGCCTACAAAAATGTATTCTATGTGATTACTCTTATAAGATAGAATGTGTACCTACAGTCTATTATGCTATGTTGTGCCTCTGGTTGTCACACCTCAAATATGTGTTGAGACTGAGCTTCAGTAAGTTCTTTGGGCAGTGACCAGAAATGTTTAGCTTGCTGCAACCCATCGGAAATGCACCTACAAGACGCCTAAACTTAAATGAATAAAACCTAGTGATTTCAGGCGCTTTCGGCAGGGTGTGAATTTGAGTTCTCGAACTGTTTCGTGGCTTTTCTTTGTATGTTTCCATGTATTCTCATCACTTCCAAATGAGTAAGGGCAAACTATATTCCCATACTCTAAGTGGCCCACCAAAAATTTTAAACATAAGAAAGAACGTCCTTCTGTCAGTTTCCTGATGTTCCCTTCAGAGTTGTTAGTGTAAGGTTCGCTTAAAAAAGCATTTTTCACTTTAAATCATAGGGTTTCAAAGTTCCCAGATATTTTTCAACTTAAAACCATCAAAGACGGGTTATCTTGACTGTTGAGTTTTCTGCAGTATGTCTCAGGTGAACTACATGGCAGTTGGAAGTATTAAAAGTAATTCCAGTGTTATCTGAATCAGATCCTCCTGAAGAGCCATCTTATCATCTTAGCTGAGAACTTCTACCCGAAGACTAAAATATTCAGACGATACTTGTTGAGGTAGTTCATTTATATCAATTAGAAAGGTAGAGTCCCGGAGGGACCCATCTAAGAAGTGCTATAAACTGTAAAAAATGAATGTTTACTGTGACCTTATATAGTGGATTACTGAAATTTGAAGCTCACCAGTCTTCCAAAGGCAGCCTGATGCGTGACATTCCAGGCTTATTGATGAAACTGTCAGCAGATTTTTATAAGTTAAGGTATATTACGTCAACTTTCCTCTTGCGATCAAGGAATGTCCAAATGTCCATCGCAATTAGCAAGTTGACAGTACAGTAATGACCATTCCTGAAGTCGTATACTCTGGCTAAAATGAGCTTATTCGTCACAAGAAGTCACTTAGATAACTTTAAATCAAGGACTCCATAACTTTTGAGAGTATTAGAAGAAGTGATACCAGCCTGTAGCCTCAAGATCTACTGAGTCGGCCTCCTTCGAAAGTCGGCTTAACACTTACCTCGAACTAGCGGATGTGAGAACAATACACTGGGCGATATTTTCGATAATGAATCAGTTTCCCTAAGTAACGAAAAATGTGCCGTCTGAAAATGCTCTTGTCTAAATGCTACAGACTTCGAAACACTAGTTCAGTCCTTTGGCTTACTTCTAAGACACTCCTAAGGATGCAGATGAAGTTCTCTTTACTGTTGGTCATGTGAGACGGTTTGAATATCTGAAAATATTGTTTTACGTTGAGCCTTGCAGCATCACCGTCGTCGATTGCTGGGCCATTAGTACCTTACAACTGGGAAATTATGGCTTCACTTCTTGAAGGACACTTTACGAATTGAGCTTTTCGGATTAGATAATAATAATAATTTCTCAAATAACTAAGTTACAAGAGTCACGCCAGTTTACAGGCTAGATCAAATTGTCACAAATGCTTTTACAATTACTGTAAAAGTTATAGCAGTTAAATTAAGTATAAGAGACAGTTTCTGATTGCATATTTACACCATATCACTGACAGAAACAGTATTATACAGCCACATTTTCAATATTAGAGTACAAATGAGGAAGGTGCACAATAGGTTCTATTGGCGATTGGCCGAGATCAATAGTGAATTTTTTGGGAAAGGTCAACTGGAACGCGTTTGATACGAGCTGTGATCCAGACAGTCATGTACATTGGGTGCATGTTCCCTAGAGTTGCCAAGGATTTCCCACCGTGAATGGGGTTCTGAAAAGGAGAAGAGAGAGAGGAAAAGCAGCAGTGTGGCAAGTGTATATATATAACCAAAGCACTACTTAACCTGTCATGTTGAAGTAGTCAATACAGTAGTAAGTCAAGATAAAATTCATACTGACCACTTAAATTAAAGTAACTTATGGGAATATAAGAATATAACGCACAGATAAAGGAGTACAGCAAAAAGAAGGGAGAGTTGTGCAGTGTCAGGTGGATAGAAGAGAAGTCGAAGTAAGAAGCTGGATTTATGTACGTTGAAATCGAAATTTCAGTTGAAAGTGTAGAGTTTGTATAAAGAAATCATGATGATTAAAAGTTCTCACTGTCTAACTGTTTTTAGTTATTATTATTATTATTGAATGCCAACCTCTAAGTCATACTGTAAGCGCCTGAGTAAGAATGTTGCAGGTGTCTCGACAGAATAGCGACCTCAGCATAGTTTTGGAAACATGAACCACAGAAGTAGCAAGCGTATAAGAGCAACCTCAGTGTTACTGATTAGTCGTCTCATCAATCTAAAGAGCCGAAAGCAAACATACCTATCGATTAGATTTACCCGATATTGAAACCTCTGAGCTCCTATTTTGTTGGTAAATTATTAGTTTGAACCGCCTATATACTCTGTTATCGGTAGTTTGTTAGTTTTCGGCCCAACATTAACTTTCAAGTTCTAGTATTCGAAGAGTGCGATTACTAATGTTTGTGGATCGCTCATTATTTCTCAGGACCATTATTGGGCTATACCGGTTTATGGCACGTATGATTCTGTTCAATATGTAATTCCACTGAACGTCCGGCTCTCAATTCAGCTGTATCTGTGGTCAGCAAAGTTGACTTTCGGAGAATCGAGGTCTCCTAAAATTAGAATGTGAGGTTTTGTTTTTGGAAAATCCCTCCATGTATATATATTTTTGTTATGATGTGACCGACTCTTCTGTTTGATATTTTGGTACACTATTTGATTTTTTATCATTTCGTATTTTGTTATAATTTCGATATCTTGCACTTATATTGAAGTTTTTATGTTGGTGTAATGGTGTAATATTGTTTGGAACGTTCTCTCCCAGAATTATCGTTTTTGGTCCTGGACTGGGTGAGAGGCGTATGAACCTACACTATTCGAGTTAAAGGCGAACTGCAGGAGTAATTAGAACTCAATAGTTCAAAAACAATATTTGGAGAAGAATCCTTTGGAATTTTATCGTTTATTAGTTCCAAAAAAATAATTGGAGGAGATGCTTTGGATTTTTGTAGTTTACTATTTCAAAACAATACTTGGAAGAATATCCTTTGGATTTCTTATCGTTTACTATTTCTAAACAGTATTTGGAAGAGGATCTTTTGGATATTTTACTGTCAATTGGTCCTTAACGATATTTGGAGAAAAGTCTTTTAGATATCTCATTGCCGACAATAATTGAAGAAGCTGAACCGGTGAAATTTAATATTTGGTCTTTGTTGTTTCCTTTCCGTTGAATTTCAATTGCTCATGAGTTCTCGTAAGAAGTCAAACACGAAGAAGGATGAAGCCCTTCAAGAATCACGGGATGCGAGGCAAGTACCTTATGAAACTTCATTTTTAAAGGGTTCACTCTCAAATAAGGATGATATTATGCTTAGCACTTACTGTCGTAAGCCATCATTAGAGGGTACTAAAGGACGAAGTTTGGACGAGAACTTAGAGGTATCTGGGAAAGATTTGATGTCTAGGACACCGGTAGTTGGCTTAGAGTTGCCAAAGGTTGAACTCCCTTATTTTGACGGCAGACACCGTGATTACTTTAGGTTCGTCAAGCAATTTGAGACATTTATAGAACCCAGAGTTATTGATGACAATCTGCGCATATTATATTTAATCCATTACTGTAATGGAAAGGCAAGAGATGCGACTGAGGGTTGTCTTACAATGGAACCTCACGAAGGATATATAACAGCTTTTCGGACAATCGCACGTAATCTCTCGTGAGACCTTGGAAGACTTGTTTAGATCTGGGAATGCTGATTATAACGATCCAGAGTAGTTGTCGAATTTAGCGGTTAAGATGCAGGACGTGTCTATGACTCTGGAACAGTTAAATTGTACTGCGGAATTAAATTCCTTAGTAACTCTGGAGCGGATAGTTAGGCTTTTACCTCATCGTATGCAAGTCCACTGGGCAGAGCTGGGAATTAAATGGGAAGAAGAGGATAGAGAGCCTACATTCAATGGATTGACTGACTTTATTTTGTCTCGTGC